GCCCGGAACCCCCCCCTGCCTCTGTGGTCAAACATACTGTGCGAGAGGCTGCTGCAGAGAAAGGAGAGGGCGCAAGGGGTGGCTGCTGGTGGAAATCGCAGAATCCCGAAGGCTTTGTACCTCCACCCGGGGGAAAAAAACGGAGAAAGCTCAAAGCTGCACTGAAGAAAGAAGTCTGTCTTCAATTTATATTCCCGCCGAGATGCTGCTGGCGCTTTTGGGCTACGTATTGGAAAAGTAGGAAGGGATATAAGGGAATTACTTTGAACAAGTCACTACTTTCTTGACTGAAGTTGAGCTGCAGGAACACTTTAAAGTCAGAAAGGGTCTTTTTAAAAATCTAAACGTCATACAGATTTAGTACTGACACGTGTACAAAGAATAGGGAACTATTCACCTCAAAAAATAGTGCATAGACATATTTTTGTTTCAGCAATGTTTTGCTCCACCGCCACTATGACAAGGAAGGGACCACGCTCTGAAGCGGGTGCTCCCAGCTCCGCCAGCGGCACAGCTCTCACCATCACCCTCTCTCCTCGTTCAAGGCTACGCTGTGTAAACGTTCCGGGCCAGGGGGGCCAAAACCCGCAGCCCACGCCTTCGTTTCGTCCAGCCTGGCAGTCACGCGATTCCTTTCCTCCTGTGACAAGTTCTCACTGAGGAATGGTAAGCTCTGTGTGATCTGCTGACCTTGAAGAACTACTCAGTCCTCTGCTCTACCAGAAATCCTAAGAATTGTCCCCAATAACTGTTTCTTGGGGGGGGGAGGGAGGGGGGAGGTGTTACAGCTGCGGAGGGAGCTGGGCAGCGTAAATTAGGCACAGTGACGGGTCAGGCCCCTTTACCTGGCTGACAGAAGCAAAGCAGAGTTGAAGCCAAACCCTAGTCTGAGCTTTTGCTGCTTGGGGCTGGATCTGTGCTCTGGTTCAAAGGATTAAACACACTTCTAGTTAACAAAGACTTAAACACAGTTCTAGTTAATAAAGACTTATATTCACAGAGCTCTTTGGGGAGAGGAGCTAAGCCCTTTCCCCTCTTATTGCTAGCAAGTTCTGAAACTCTGGCAAGGTTTTTTAAACCTTCCTTGAAAAGGCCAAGTCTGACATTTGGTTTGGAAGCTGCTCTGGAGAGAACAGCATGTCCATCTCTCATTTCTTGCAAGATTTTCAAAATTCTGCATCTTCCCCAACTTGGCTGGGGAAGCCGAAAAACACCCAACCCTCCATTTCCAGGGAAATAAACTGGCCACTTCACCCCTGCCACACTGACTGCTGGTGCTTGGGTTAGGAGTTCAGCATCTCCAGCCTGCCAGGCTGGGCTAAGCACTGTAAGAACCTGAAGAGGACTGAAAAGGAGCAGAGCAGGAGGCTCTGTTTGGTGCAGACTTAATTAAACTGTCAAGTCCAATCCCTTAAGTACTACAGGGCCTTGTAGTTTGTTATTAGGTGGATTATTTAGAGAATGAACTATGTCCTACCCCACAAGCAAAAAGCCAGAGCAGGAACAGATAGAGCCACCTGACAGTCATAGGGGTAACTGCAAATCCTGCCTGAGCTTGGAGCTGGAATGCTGTAAGACTGATCCCCAGACTTAAGTCTGGCCAAAACAAAATCCCAGTTTTAAATCCCTTTTACGTGCTTGGGAGCATTCCCCCACACAGCTTGCATTGTAGTGTTAGAGAGAATGTGTTGGTGGTTTGGTTTTGTTGTTTTTTTTTTTTAAATTAGTGTGCTTATCAAGAAGGAGTTTTGATAGACACCCCCTCCCTACTATAGAAGCAAAATTAAAAAAAAAAGCAGGTCTGCATGACATGCATCAGCTCCAAAGAACAGAAGCTTTCTGGAAGAAGTGCTACATTTCATGGAATACTGCTGACTACATAGTACCAACGTATAGCAGAGGTCTTCAGTGTTAATACTGAAAGGCTGCATTTTTGATGCCGTCTTTAAAAAAAAGTGACAGAAGGAATTCTCTAGCAGATAGGGGGCTGAGGAGCAGGTCTAGAAGCAAGTATTAAAAGGTATAAAAATCTGTACAGGAGCTTTTTTTAAAAAAAAAAAAAAAATTCTTTATAATGTGCAAATGGGCCACAATTCTGGAAGAGGTGTTACATGCTTTACGTGACACGGGATGGATCCCGTCAGCGTGGAGGTGTTAGCAGGCCTGAGGGAGTGGAACAACTTGCACGCCAGAGTCTAGCAGTTGGAGGAGTGCATGCTCCCCAGCTGGCCAGCTGCCAGCATCAGGATGTCTTTCTTCTCCTTATGGAAACGCAGCTCCTTCCCAGCCAGGCGGGCTTCGTCCAGCTCTCTCTCCGTCGAAGCCAGCTCTCTGGAAAGGGCCCCTGGGCTATTCTGCTCCCTGTTCACCCAGTCCATGGCCATCTGGTTCCTTATGTCATCATCCAGGGCGCGGTGGGAGTAGTGAGCCAGGACCTCCTGGTGGTAACGGACAGATGGAGGGGAGCTTAGGAAAGACAAGTCACTACACAGGACACGCATCACTTAGTAGCATCTGGCTTCCTAGCCAGCTAAGGGACCTTAAGCAGAAGGTTGTTGTGACCCTAACGCACCTAGAGTACAACTGCTCGAGACACCCAGAGCCCAGACTCACCTGCCGTGAGCACTGCCTCTCACGCATGGCTTTGAGGCTGCCGTTCCAATGCAACAGCTGGAAGACGGTCATCAACTCCTGCAATGACAAGAGGCAGTCAGGCTGTGAGCAAATGTGGGGATGAGGATTCAGCATTACCAGTAGTCAAGCTAGTTTCTAGCGATGGCAACAAGAAGCCAAGGACTTTGCAATATCATGCCCAGTCCTTTGCAATTGCAAGGATCACGGAGTATGTTTGCAACCTCAGAGTCCATGAACAAAAGAATTCCAGCATTAATGAGTTAAGATTTATCAAAAAGACAAGAAAACCAGAGAAGCGGGGGAGGCAGAAGGCATCACCAACGTCCTAGGAGCCAGGATGCAAGGGCAAAGCCTGGCTTACCCCACTAGAGAACAATCCCCTGACGAGATGAGTGGATTACAGAGGAGACAAAGACGCTGACGCTTCACTCTGCCCCAGGGATTTCAGGATTCTGCAAGAAAGACTCTCCTATCTCCCAACCTCCAAGCTAAACCATCAGCTAGAGCGGGTGACAATCCAACATTTTCCAAGCAAACATTTCTCTCTCAAGGCCACACAAATTTTCTTTCATAAACTTGCAGCAACTAGTTAGGCTTCCCAAGCACAAACACAGCCTAAGGAATATACATAACAGAGTCACCCTGTGTAAACAGGCCCATTAATATAAACACTTCTGTCTTCCGCCTACTGAGTTATTTCCATTCAAGGGAAACAAGCCAGGCAAGAAGTCGGCTTTGGGAAATGTTTGCCTGCAGCAAAGAACCCCAAATACAGCGACACTACAGACTTAAGGCATCTACTTTGAGATGCCTCCAAAGCCTGCTTCACCGTCTGGAGCAGAGTTACAGTCTAATTTCCCCTCTTCTAAAAATCCAGTTCCAGTTGGTGCGCTTACAGTCAACTCATCTGCACAAGAATCATTTCGAGTTACTTTTGAAACCCAAGTTTAAATTAAAAGGATTCACGAATCTCAAAGCATTGTCATAACGATATATCTGTACATGCGGGGATAGACGTCCTGCTTGACAACAAGGAGCATGCTCAAAGGCTATCAAGTCACATGTGGAATTCAGAGTGCTCTAAACAGTCTTCGTTACCTGGCTGCTCTGCTCCACTCATAGGAGCGATTTCCTCGGAAAGGCTGGAATAAAGCCCAGAAGAATCTCAGTTCTCAGTCATCTGTTCTGCACGGACTCCTTCTGCCCCATTAACCAGAACTGATAAGTGTTATAGCAGTTTCCCTCAGCAGTTTGTACTTTTCATTTCACAGATGTTTTGTCGTAACGAGAGACAGACTGAGCATATTTCAGTAGGATACGAAGACTGCTCAGATAATGCTGTGGTTTGAGGGCATGTAACGACAGTAATCAAGACTCCTAATTCCACAATCAAAATGTCTTTGGATGAAAGATCTTCACCAGCTTTCCTAAGGGAAGCCAGATCTCTCCCATTTTACAGGGAGAGGATAAACATCACAAATGAAACGGCTCACTTAATGCTGTGAGTTAAGGTACCTGGATATACCGCCTGGACCTCCAGCACCAGTTATCTAAATACTATGGCACTGAAAACACTGGATCAGAAGAATGCACGACCCTTTCACAATACTGAGCCATGCAAACATCAAAGAGCGTTTACAGAGAGAAGCCCAATTCAAAGTATTTTGTGGCTATACCAGCACCTGAAAGTGCCACAAATCCTGAATTGTGTTCTAAGAGGAAAGCCCCACTTTTATTTTGAACACAAAGCACTATAAATGTAGCTGAAAGATCAAACCACCCACTGCCTGAACTGTGTAATTAAATTATGAACAGTACCTGGAACTCCAGCATCGATTTTCCCTTGTTGGATTCCAGCATGAAGCGGAAAGCACCGATCCCAGTGTTGGGATTATCAGCTTCTTCTCGATTGCCCTGCAACAGACATTTCATTTAAGAGCTGCAATTCCCGAGCAAGTGCAGCTCACCTGGTACCTTCAAATTCTGCTACATCAGCTCCACTCCAGTAATTCCAGGTCAGATTAAGGAGGACAGCCTTACACACCTCAGCCTCGTGCCTGCAGACACCTTACTGGTCTAATTCAGCCTTGAATACTTGCATCGTTCATTACAGCTCTCACGGAGCAACAGAGCCCGCTCTGCTTTTGGCAATGCTGCTTGAAACGGGATTTTTTCTGCAGCCCATTATGGTGATTTCAAAGTTCTTACCATACTCTGGGTACCATCAAGTGCCATGTGACTGCACAGCAAGAACTCCCTCCAGGATAAGGTATAAGTGGGACAGTAAAAGAAGAATGCAAAGCTCCCACCGCTAGAAACTAAAGTTTCTGGAAAATATTTGGTTTAAAGAAAACTAGCCAATGTGACAAGCTGGTCACAGAAGGGCCACATGAATCAACAT